TTGGTATGGGAAGAGCCTCTGACGCAGGAAGGCTTGGGCAAGGCTGATCAGAAGCCTCACGCCCAAGCCCCCTGTTGGAGGAGTAACATGTCCTGCTGGATGGGCTTGCTTCCAGCTCCCACGGTGCTCTGTCATCGCCTGGGAGCAGTCAGAGGAAGCAGGACCTTGGTGAAAATGTGGGGGACCCAGGTGATAGCAGCCACAGCTGTCAGTCAATTACGCTGTCTGCAACAGGAGAGCGAAGCAGAGTGCTTGCATATTTGCAATATAAATACCCACAAGCACTGTAGGAAGACTGAGGATTCCTTCCAACAATATGTGAAAATAAAATGAAATCTAATCTTTTGAAATGAAATTCATTCTAAAGCCAGGAACAAACTGTATGAATTATTTAAGTTATTTTCTGGGCTGCAATTTCATTACTATACAAATCTATATTGTGATCTAAGAGCTGATGAGATTTTAAGAGCAAAATCACAGCTGGAAATGAAAGATGTTCAAACTGCATGAGTGTTATTGAGCATGTACCAGACGATTATGTAGAAGCAGTATTTAGAAGTCAGTCTGGAGGTGATGCTGACTGGTGATAATGATAGTGTACTCATACACAGAATAACTTCAGCCATCTAATTGCTCTGCTAGAGTCACATGATAAATGTACCTGGATACAAATCAATGGGAAATGGTCCCCAGAATAAAGCATTGAAGAAAGCCTTGTGCACTAAAGAGAACAGTGCTTGCAGGACACAGCCAGCAATAATGCTGACATTAGAGCACAGAGTCGAGGCAGCAGAATTCTAATGATAAAGGTGGCTCTGGTAGATGAATGAGCTACTTTCTGGCTTAAAAATGTGCTATTTTGGCAGGTGCCATTAGGCTCAGAAATACTATCTCTTCCACAGAACGACTCTCTATGTCCTGGGGTAGAAGAATAAATGCCTGCTCCCTCTACTGAAGTCCCAAGTCAAACCAAAGCCCTGCATCCATGCAGTCAGAAATCCTAACAGATAAACCCATGCATCTCTCTTCCTCAAGATCTTTCAGAGAGAAATATGGATAATGCCAGGGGGAAAACATCACTTACAAAATAGGACACCACAAGATGCCCATGGCTTCCCTAATGAGCTTAATGAATGATAACCTCTCTTTTTTTTCACTGTCTCTAAGATGGAAGTAGCAGTTCATGGCCATTTTTGTTTCTGAAACAATTAAACAAAAACATCTATAGCAGAGAGATGAGAAATGTACATGGCATCTATTACTTATAAATATATTATTAAGTTAATACAAATTACTTTGCAATAGTAACACCTTTTAATTAAACAGATACTGGTCTTGAAGTTCTGCATCTTTTACTCACAGCCTTAAAAATAATCACTTCTTTTATTTAAGATCTTATATAAAGATTGAGTTCTCCTTTGACTATAGCTATAAATTATTGTCACATAAATTTACAATTACAGAGGCAATAAGCCTTTATTGACTCATGGGTTTATTCAACATTTCTTCCCTCAATATGGATAGCGAGACAAAACCTAGGTACCAAACAATGCAATAAGAAGTCAATGTAGTCTATATTATTTTTATTTTTGAGCTATAAGACATCCTATCATACACTTTGAGAAAGAATTCCCATGTCTGTTTAGGGCTTTCCACCTCCCTCCCTTATAATCAGGATGTGTGGTTCCTAGCAAGTTACTCTAATCCAGACCCAGTAATGGAACAAACGCACAATGATTATGAACCAAGCATCTCATTCTATTCCCTGACACAAGGTGGCTTGGGGATGCATACGTGCTCCTACCAGGTCAGTCAGAGACAATGCAAGTATTATTCTTTTTATTGAGGTAATGTTTGATTTACAACATTATATTAGTTTCAGGTGTACAACACAGTGATTCCAAATTTTATAGATTATACTCATTTTATAGTTATTATAAAATATTGACTATACTCACTGTGCTGTACAATATGTCACTGTAGCTTATTTATTTTGTACATAATAGTTTATACCTCTTAATTGCCTACCCTTAACTTGACCTTCCCACTTTTTGTCTCCCCGTTGGTAATCACTAGTTTGTACTCTCTATCTGTGAGTCCACTTCCTTTTTGTTATGTTCATTAGTTTATTTTTTAGATTCCACATATAAGTGAAAATATATAGTATTTGTCTTTCTCTGTCTGATTTATTTCAGTTAGTGTGACATCCTCCCCGGTCCATCCATGTTGCTGAAAATGGCAAAATTTAATTCACTTTTATGACTGAGTAGTATTACATTATATATATATATATATGTGTGTGTGTGTGTGTGTA